CCGACACTTTTAATAGGTTAACTTTCATCCCGCATTCGTGTCAACTATTATATATATATATATATCGTAAAACTGTTTACGTGTCAACTACTCGAGCAATAAAAAAGAACGCTCGTCTCGATATCTAAAAATTCGTATCGTTTTCCTGGTTATTCACTTTCTAAATATTGCAGGCGCAGCAAAAGAGAATTATCAAGAGCAATTTGAAAGGTGTCGCCCTCGGTGACGCGTGGATCTCTCCCATCGACTCCGTGATGAATTGGGCTCCCTTCTTACTCGCCACGGTACCCACGATTGGTCTCCTTAATTGTTTCAACCGATCCATTTCTTTTTACATTGAGTTTTCATTAGAAATGTTTTCACTTGACAGGGCATGGTGGACACCGAGGGATACAAGAAGATCGATGAAATGGCTCAAAAGACGAAAAATGCCGTGGAAACGAAGAGCTGGAGGACGGCCACGATGCTTTGGATCAACGCGGAGGCAGTGGTCACTGAAGTTACCGATAATATCGATTTCTATAATATCTTAACGAAAATGGAAGCTAGCGGGACGCTCTCCCTCATGAAGAGGAGAATTCGGTCGAAACCGTTCCTTCGAGGTAAAATTGTATTTTATCAATTGTACATCATAGAATTCTATAATTCTATTATATTTTAGAATACGCCACGTTCAACGAGGCCACCTTAAACAGGCTTATGAATGGACCCGTGAAGGAAGCTTTGCAACTTCCGGTTAACCACGGCGATCAATCAGATATGGTATTCACCAAGTTGCAAGAGGATTTCATGAAACCTGTAGTCAATATAGGTATTATTTGAATCTTGAATTGTATACGGGATTTTTAAAAACACGATTAATTTTTAATTTTATTATCCAGTGGAGGAATTATTGAACAAAACTGATCTAAAAGTTGCCGTCATCACCGGTCACATGGATCTCATCGTCGACACTCCAGGTATATTTTATTTCATTCCTGATATACATTTGTCTATATCTAATATATATATAATATATATATATAATATATATATATATATTATATATATAAT